AACATTTTTGGAACAAAACGTAACAAAATAGTAGCGTTGATGCGGTGATGTGTATTTGCAAAAAGCAATATTATTTCCTTCAATAAAGAATATTCATCCTGCTCTAACCGAGAAATAATCTACTCAGTCTGTTTGAACCCATTAAAAACATAAAAAATTAGGCTATTTAAGAATACGAAAAATTTAAGCGCCTGCCTTCCATGGTCAGTCTTTCATGTACATTTAAGTTTGCAAAGACCTAATATTAAATACTTGCATAATTTCGAACGTTCATATTTCAGGAAACAATGAGTTAAGACTTACATGTAAGATGTCTAAATCTACGCCATATCCCTTACAAACCTTAACGATAATTCGCTGAAATACAAGTTAGCCTAATATGTCATTAAGCAAACAAACGCTGGAGTTAATATTTGATATGCCGATTTCGCTAATTTTAGACACATTCCAAAATATGCTCCCCATTTTTAACATTAATATATCCGTGAATTTTTAAGTTAACTACAACTCTAATATATCAAAATCTAAGTTAGTCCTTCCTCTATTTAATGCAAGTTATTTCTCTTTAAAAACTTTACTTGTTTAGAAGTTATTACGAATCAAACAGGAGTACTTTTTTTTGGGCCACCCGGTATATATATATATATATATATATATATATATATATATATATATATATATATATATATATATATATATATATATATATATATATATATATATATATATATATATACATACATACATACATACATACATATATATATATATATATTTGCGCACGCTCACTTCTTGCAGTTTGAGCGCTCTGGCATGGTTTTGATGTCCCACAACCGTGAGGCATCAAAGGTAACTATAAATAAGAGTTACTTTCATCCTGCTCATCAGCACTACACTGATGAGGCCCATTAGGCCGAAACGGTACCGTCTGTAGTTATATATATATATATATATATATATATATATATATATATATACCGGGTGGCCCAAAAAAAAGTACTCCTGTTTGATTCGTAATAACATCTAAACAAGTATAGCTTTTAAAGAGAAATAACTTGCATCATATAGAGGAAGGACTAACTTAGACTTTGATATATTACAGTTGTATTTCACTTAAAAATTCACGGAGATATTAATCTTTAAATTCGGGAGGATATTTCTGGATGTGTCTGAAATATGCAAAAATCGGCGTATCAAATATTAATCAAGATTTTCCCGACTGAAACATGCACTATTACCAGTAAATAAATGACACTTGACAAATTGTTTATTATGAAACAAAGTATATTATTATATCTACAAAATACAAGCAAGATTTATTCGCCCGAAATTCGCGTGTGCTCCTACCACGAATACGTTTCCTTATTTCATGAGACCACTGCATCGCGAAGGATAGTCATGGATCGTTCGTAGCTGTGAATTAGGGCATGCTGTCACAATGGAATTGTGAAGCTCTTCTAACTTCTGCAACGTTCTGAAATCTAGTTAAGAACACCCAAACTCTTTTGCCTTTTCTTAATCTTGGCAAGTTCAGAGTAAACTGAGAATTATATGAAACACAATCAAACCATATAACTCCATAAGACATAACAATTAAGCAACTCCCCCGAGACATGCAACATTTTTGGAACAAAACGTAACAAAATAGTAGCGTTGATACGGTGATGTGTATTTGCAAAAAGCAATATTATTTCCTTCAATAAAGAATAATATTCATCCTGCTCTAACCGAGAAATAATCAACTGAGTCTGTTTGAACCCATTAAAAACATAAAAAAATTAGGCTACTTAATTTAAGAAAAATTTAATCGCCTGCCTTCCATGGTCAGTCTTTCATGTACTTTTAAGTTTGGAAAGACCTAATATTAAATACTTGCATAATTTCGAACGTTCATATTTCAGGAAACACTGAGCTAGCTATAAGACTTACATGTAAGATGTCTAAATCTACGCCATATCCCTTACAAACCCTAACAATAATTCTCTGAAATACAAGTTAGCCTGATATGTCATTAAAACAAACAAACGCTGGAAATAATATTTGATATGCCGATTTTCGCTAATTTTAGACACATCCCAAAATATGCTCCCGATTTTGAACATTAATATCTCCGTGAATTTTTAAGTAAAATACAACTGTAATATATCAAAATCTAAGTTAGTCCTTCCTCTATTTAATGCAAGTTATTTCTCTTTAAAAGGTTAACTTGTTTAGAAGTTATTACAAATCAAACAGGAGTACTTTTTTTTGGGACACCCGGTATATATATATATATATATATATATATATATATATATATATATATATATATATATATATATATATATATATATATATATATTAGTTGTGTAATTGTACACTATGTAATATGTTAAGATGAAAATGTTCTAGAGTGTGTATTATATAATTTCCATACCCAGCGTATGGAAATAATTTCCATAATAATATAATTTCCATAAATAATAATAATAATAATAATATAATTTAATAATAATATAATAATAATAATATAATAATAATAATAATATAATTTTATAATAATAATATAATTAAATAATAAATAATATTTACCCTTACAAAAATTCCACATGATTTCACATGTGTGAAATTTCACATGGGAATTTGGAACATGTGATTTTTCACATGTGAAATTTCACATGTGAAATTATGTTTCACATGTTCCAAATTCA